GGAGGTGTCCGCGCCAAGCATACGCGGACCACCGGGCGATGGAGGGATCCGAGGGCGCCGACGAAACCACGGCTTTTGGGCCCATGCGCCAAGGCCCCGGGGATCGATTCCCATCGAGCATTGGGCCCACCGCGCAACTATGCAATCGACTGCCCCGGATACACCCACCGTCCAAGGTGGAGATACCAGCCAACCTCCAACGGCTGTGCTGCAGAGCAGGGCGACCCCAGCTTCTCCAAAAACTAGCAGCTGCCAATAAGGCCACAACAACATGTCTTGACATAATATAGAAGGTGCATACTAGCACAAGGGCATCTAGCAAATTTTGCAAAGGCGCAATATGCAATTAGATAAATACCAACTTATGTATTATATGATTGTCTATGGAAACCTAGGTAAAGTGTGGTTCCCTTGAGACACAAACATCCACAATATATAAAACATGGCATAGTTATAGTTTAAGGAATGTAAAGTGGACATTGTATTGACTTTTTCATAGTCCAAGGGTGTTGCCAATGCACTAATAATCTATTAAAAGATGTGCATGTTGCAACAAGAACAAAAATAAAGCAATTTTTGTCGTGTTTATGGAAATCCTTAGATACTTTTACAGTAACCATCTGGGTTGTTACCGCAACTTGTTTATGTTCGAATATGTGGCACAACAATTCATCAACAATGGCATACTGCCATATTGGGCCCACCCAACAAGGCATGGATATTTGATAAATGTTGAACATACGATGGAATTATGACCATGCCAACGTGTCAACCTTCCCAATAATATAAAACTACTCACCTTGGAGATGTAGACATCATACATAGTCCAACAAGTAGTCCATTGGCAATGGCACTTTTGTCACAACTTTTAATAGCACACCAAAAAGTTATGTCTGCAGTTCAACCCAAACCTTGCTTAAAACTAGCTTTCGTGCAAAATGTCGGTAAGGTCCGAAAAGGTGCACTTGTGCGCAACATTGCAATTATGTGTTTTTTGGGCAAAACGGTTGTGCCCAAGATTGGCCGTCAAAAAATAGGGAAATTTGTGCACAAAATTGCCATTTATTTGCCTGTGTTTGCGCGCGCGGCGCGCGCAAAGGTTGTCCTCTTTCGTGTTCTCCTATGCCTTTTTTCTGTCAGCTATGTGGTTCTGGAATGTTCGCTCCTGACGGGTTTTACTGTGACCACGATAGTATTCCCCAATTCAAGTGGGAAATGCTTGTGGTGCACAGGTGGACCCCCGGCAGACGGTGGGGCAAGGCCATGTTGCACCCACGACTTGTGGGTCACATGGATTGATTGCGAGGTGGTTGTAGGCGTCCTTGGCCGGCACCAAGTTATTCTTTTTGTGCGCAACATTGTGGTTTTCCTGTCCATTGGGTGACCCCCAAAATGCCCTGTTTGTGTGTAAGTTCGTTGTTGTGGTGTGTTTCTTGCATTTTGCTTATGCGCAAAATACATATTTTGTTGTTTTCCGTGGCCCCCTTACCAACATTTTGCATGAAAGTTAGTTTTAATTGTTATCAACATTGCCTTTACACATATGGTAGTATAATCAAGCACCACTTTTTTGGTACACCACCAAGCATGTTGTGATGTTGTATATATGAATTGCCAAGAACATGGCATGATAGGTATACACCTTGTTGATAGATCTACACTAACCACTCAATGGATCAAAAGAAGGCCCCTCATGCACACAACTGACCATCTTGTCCAAAATATCAATCTTTAATTAAGTTCCATTCACAATATAGACCCTGTCGGTGCGGTCCCCCCTTGGCCGCGTCCAGGTACCCTGGCCCGCACTCTAGGGCCTCTCCGGTGGAAGCGTGGTCGTCCTCGGCCGGACGGCGTGTCCCGGGCTCTCTCAGGCCCGTGGGTGACGGCCGCTCTGTGCGGTCCCATCCGAGGCGCGCGGCGGCTCCGCTCGAGGAGGCAGGGAGGCAGTGCATTCCAGAACGATCAAACTACAATCGGCACCGCCGCCAGACACTCTTACATGTGGCGGCCAATTTCATCAAAGTCATCATAATTATTAAGGACCTCCATTTTGGCCAAACCTGTTTTCCGGCTAAAGGCCTTGCTATGCTCGGCCCTTACGCCGAAGTCATTCCGGTCTGCTCCGCTTCACTCCGCATACAGCCTCCACGACTTTGGCGACGGGCCGAGCTCCGCTCGGCAAAACAAGAGAACCAACGGGTCATTACCACAGGCCCGTTTTATATATGACTGCTTTTGTATTCATTAGCAATTTGTAAACATCTTGTGCCAATGCGATTTGCCTCAAGATCTCTCTGCCTACTACACCCAATTTGAAATTTCGTGGTCCAACAATCTGACCCGAGTAGGGAGCTACCATGAATGCCCTCCTAACCCACATCTTCTTAATTTAAAAGCTGATTCGTGGGTTTACCAATCAGTTAAACAATAGCCTGAAGACAACCCGGATGACGAAGATTGGGTAAGGTGCTGGGGAGTAGTCTGCTAAAAGCGACGTTGAAAATTTGCAATGCCAAAATATTCAAAAGCATACTGTACACTTCCTTTTAGCATGCCAAGGAGGTTCCTGGGTCCTAAGTCAGCCAGCATCTTAGAACGGAACAAGATCTCGCCTTTTTTATTATACAACAATTTTGATTGATTGATAGATAAATTATGAATTAACAATGGGATGTTGTGCAAGGTTCGCTGTGGTGGCTCAGACGTCTGCAGCAATTCGAGAAAGGATTGTGCATCCTCACCAAAACCGACCCCAGATATCCGCCAATGGTCATCTCACCCTTGAACAGCCACTGCACCGCGCTTAGAGGACTCAACCATCCTCCCGCCCGCCACGTGCCGTGTGTATCTTCAAGTGTTCAACCGTACTGGCCCGCAACCCTCAAGACAAGCAGCCTTGTTTCCATTGAGTGATGATGTCCAGTGCCAACGTAACCAACCAGTACTTTGGATACCTGGCAATGAATTTCGCACTGATGTTCAGACCGCGAAATGACTTTCGGCACGTTCAAAAGCTGCCTCGCCTGCAATCATCGACGTCCATCCACCAGGGGCGAAGGGGGGCGGGCGTAGAGTGCACTCCGGCGGGGGGCAGAACCCCAGACAGTCCTGTTCGCTGTTACCGGCGCGACAAAAGTTAGCAGCACGAGGGGGCCGCTACGACAGGAGCTGAGGTTAGGCTTTCATCGGCGTCGATGGCAAAGGGTGGCAGACGCGTGACCGCTGACGCGTGGAATGGATTGGCATGACAGTGCTCCCTCGCAACAGCCAAGTGCCGAAATACCTTGTGCCGGACGGCGAGGTGGCCAGGAGGGGCGTTTCCCGCCCGACGATGCGCCCCTGCCTCGATGCGCTGCGCCGGACCTCTTCATCGTCGTTCCAATACGCTGTGCACGTTTCGCCAACCTCCAATGACGGGCCAGGTCGCCCATGGTCGGTCATTGCGCCCTCGTCCATGACCGCTCTGTGCAGCTCGCTGAGCGGCAATATTTCCCTGCGTTGTGTTGACTGTTACGCGCGTATCCTGTGTCGTGATTGTTGCGCCCCTGTGGCCGTTTTTCTCCCGGCTCCGATGGGGCGAGAGCCCTTGCTGCGCGTCGAAGATCAGATGGGCGAACTTTTGTGCTGGCAGGATGGAGGGCTTGCGGAGGGGCGCTGCAGCGGTGCTGGCCGCTTGCCTCTTGCTTGTGAACGGGCCCGCTGGGAGCCACGGGCAACCGCTGCTCATTGGTGCGGTTCCCTGATCGACATGTTGTTACGTACATCGCCAGGGCGCCGGATGTTGGCGGTGTGAAATCCACCCTCACAACGCAACGAACAATCGGGCGCCGCTGAGTCACCCACACAAGGCAGTGGTGGTGCTGCCGGCACGTTCACCAAGCTGGCAACAGGACCCGAATTCCGCTATGAGAAAACTCACTGAAAATCTCAAGGCACTGTCCTTTCACCTGCTTCCTTTTGAGTGTGAATCCCTCTTTTCCGCATCAATTGGTTGATGCACAATGCCGCTGTGCTATCCTGAAGGGCCAGGGCAAGTTGCAATATTGCAACTTGCCATTGCGTTTCAGTATAGAACAGTGGCATGAACTTAAATGCAAACGAACGCACGAATCGGGGCTTGCTTGACAGCATAGGAACTAGCAGGTTTCCTTCGTCACACTGCTATCTGATGCCTTCAAACGACATTGTGTTTCCAGATGTAATGAGACATTGCGATGCCCCATGCTCGGGTTGACTGCTCGGGTAGAAAAGCGATGGGCATAGGCATTGCGTACCTGTGTGCCACGATGTACATCGCACATCGTAGTACATATGTGCAACAAAGGGTGAATTGTGAAGGTCGCTGCAACATATTGGCACATGCATGCGTATGCAGGAGTCCATGCGATCTTGATCCGTCGCTCATCCCCTGAGCTCCTCCATTTCAATTGTATCATTTTGGTATTCCGTGTGGGTTCGTCAATCAGAATGGAATGAGTGGCGCAAGCAATCTCAAGCATGCTATCTCAAGTCTCCCACTCGCAAAAGTTTGCACTGGCCGATTTGACAAAGGGGCTGCTTGCTGCACTTCTACCACATCGACAACGAAACTATTTGCGCCAACGTTGGTGATAACGGCCGCCAAATCTGCGCATTGTCTTTGTTCTCTTCTTCTGGCTTGAGACTCCCTTAACCTAAATTAACGTGGACGGTCCGTCGCATTGTCAACAGCAACATCTCTCAAACGATATCTAATATGGCACCCTTCCAGGTCTTTTTCTCCTGCGCCTTGCCTCTATGACCCAGACGCCTGAAAGGGCAGGGTTTCCTGTTCCCAATGAGCAGTTAATGAGGGCATGCGCAACACAGTAACTGGATACTGATATCAATGTTCGTTATTGGGCATTGTGAAATCGCTTCAATAATTTCTGTGTGACCATTGGCAGATGAATGCTCGTTGGCCCCTGATAGTGGTCCATGCAGGGCTGCCTTCCAGAGGTACCATTACGACCCCCAGGATGGCACTTGCAAGCAATTCATTTATGGGGGTTGCCAGGGCAACGAAAACAACTTTGAGACGCCGGAGGCATGCCAAACTGCATGTGGCAAACCTACTGGTAAGCGCTGCGCTATAACCTTGGCATACTTTTTGCGGAATTCCCGTGTCCGCGCCCCCCTGTGTGTCGAAGTGAAGGAGACTTACATTCCTAAAGGGGGATGCGATCTCCATGTGCAAGACATGGCGGAAGACGCGCTCCCACAATTATCAGTAAATCGCTTGCTGATGAACTGAATGAAACGGGCAGATAGACTGGTAACAATTGGCCCAGCTATGCTTTTGCGTTGTCCACATCTCTTTGTGCGTATTTGTTTGTGCACTGGTGACACGAGCATGAGTGCAACTGGGCAGGATGCATTCCGCACAACTGACAGACGGCTCACGTGCTCGCAACGCAGATGTCTGTTTGCTGGGGAAAGATACGGGGCCATGCAGGGCCGCCATTCCAAGATACTATTACGACGCACAGTCGAAGAGGTGTAAGAGGTTCATCTATGGTGGCTGCCAGGGAAATGGCAACAACTTCGAGACAAGAAGAGAGTGCAGGAGAACCTGTGCCAGGCGAGGTGAGCCCCCGTTGATCTTGGAAATATCGAATGGGTGATCGCGGGAAGAAGATGGATTGCATACCAAAGGGGAAGGTGGGAGCCACCTGCCGTGGCCTACAGGAAAACAACACGCTCATCTTGGGCTGGCTCGGTGAATTACTGCAGTACGTCCCCACCGCGCTGTCATTTCTGAGTCCAACCCCGTGCTGCGTCGGTGGAAAACGCTAGTTACAGTAGCAACCCTGATATCTGTTTCAATTTCCATTCGTCTCTTGCACACAAATCAAACGGCTATCACAGGAATGCTGGGCTTGGCTTGAATTCAAATGTCCCCGACAAAATGATCACCAGCTCTTCTTAAAATTCTGACTATGATCTACAAAACGGATTGCATGGCTTAGGGCCTCTGGCGGGGTTCGTACAGGGCAATTCACCATGCATCTTAGCTATACAGCATACACTGTTACCTGCATGTGCAAGCATGCAATTTCCGTGAATTCAGAAGCATCCAATTTGCAATATCTACGATGGCAGTCCGGGCCCCTCACCCTGACTCCACAGGGCTCTTTGTCCATTTTCCTGGGTGTCAAATTGCGGCTAAACGGTCCTTATCAATCAATCCAGTCTGTCAGCCGTCCAGCTGCCACACAACAATATCTGAGCGTTCACATTGAAGAAATCTTGAAAGCGCCCCACTGGTCGTTGTCCGTGTCTCAATTGAGTCAAGCCCATCAGACGGCATCAGCTTTCTGGCTGTCCAACCCTGCACGGGCATCCCAATGCTCAACAAATGACCAGCACAAGAAGTAAAAACAAAAGCAACCGAATAAGCCTCTCGCTTGTTCCTCCCTGCGCAGGCTGGGGTCCCCGCAACTGCAGGAAGCGCTGCTGCAACGGCAGAACCCCGCCGGAGTGCGCGTCCACGTGCGCCCGCGTCAGCTGCCCCGCTCCCCCGGCGGACTGTGCCACCCTCTGCTGCCAGCCCGGGCCCGGCGGCCCACCCCCGCAGTGCCTGGACACCTGCGCCCGCATCTTCTGCCCCCTCCCTCAGCCCCCGGACTGCGGCGCACAGTGCTGCCAGGGCGGGCCCATCTCAGAGAAGTGCCAGCCAACCTGCGCCGTAGTGGACTGCGCGGGGCCTCCCGCCGACTGTGCCGAGCGGTGCTGCGAGGCGTATGCGGGGGGTTACGATCCACCGACTGAATGCGGCCCTACCTGCCTGGCGGTCACGTGCCCGGTAGTGGACCCCTTTCCGCCGGTGAACGATTGCGCCACGCGCTGCTGCGACGCCGTGAATGGAGGCTACGATCCGCCCAAGGAGTGCCTGGACACATGCGCGGTTGTGTTGTGTGCCGCGCCTCAGGACCTTTGCGAGCAGGAGTGCTGCAACGCGGCGGCTGGGGGCTATGATCCCGCTCCGAAGTGCCTGGATGTCTGCGCACGCGTCAGCTGCCCGGGGCCGCCCGCGGAGAAGTGTTCGGACGCCAAGCTGTGCTGCGAGGCGGAGAGGCCGGCGGCGTGCGATGAGCTGTGCAGGCGCGTGCGGGTGGACTGCCGGTGCACGGCGGAGGACTGCTGCCCGACGATCGCGAGGGACAGCTGCAGGGAGACGTGCGCCACGGTGGACTGCGTGCCTCAGTGCACGCCCGCCGAGTGCTGCAGGTGGGTCTGGCGCGCCTGGGCCCCGCACGGTCGGTGACGCCTCGTTGATGAGCGTCCGGAATGGGGGAGAGGAAAGATGTGCGTTTCACTGGGTTCTTGCCGGTTTGGCGGCTGTCCGGGTGGTGGCCAACGTGGGATGCCCCGGCCTGGAAGCGCACACCAGTGCGTCTCGCCTCGGGGCAGTTGCACCGCATCTGTATTATATAGTGTGAAAGAGTCGTTTTAATTTGCCGATGCGTGACAAAGCAGGCTCTGTCACACACGTGCACGATCAGCAAAGGTGCTGCGCAGCACCCTTGCTGACCGTGCAAGGGTGATGTTGGTCAATGCATAAGATGTACCAAAATCGTCCGACAACCGTCAGACACAGTCACTGTTTGACGAGCTTCAAAGTCGTCAGAGAATCGTCAGGCCTCATGAGGCCAAGTCAAATCCAGAAAGGCGGCACTTCAAGTACATGTTCGGCACGGAAAATAGAACTCAGGGCACTTGCAAAAATATTGGATGCCTTACAGCTCGAGTGGCTGGCCAACAATCGGCCGTGACTAGGATCACGCCCCCTGTGCATTGGTGCGACAGCCACATTCGATCTGGGACTCTGCACTGTGTGTCTCACACGCGGCGGGTCGCAACACAGGGAAGGCTACAAGATTTGGCCCCACGTCAACGCGCGCTGCATCCAATGTACGCCATAATTGGCGCCTCTTCTCTGTCGAGATACTGATGGACCCTGAGCCGACATTCTGTGTGGCTGCATTCGCGCAGCGGCACGGAATTCTGCGACCCTGCCAGCTGCGCCGCAGTCACATGCGCCGTAGACAACCCTGGAGGCTCCCCCACGCCACCCGCTGGCTGCGGGGTATTCAGCTGCTGTCACAACGGCGAAATTGACGGCGAGTGCGAAGACTACTGTGAATCTGTGGACTGTTCGCTGCCATGCTGCCCACCGATTGAACTGCCAGGGACCAAGCCATGCAGGGACTGCGGATTGAAGGGCTAGGGTTGCTGAGCCGAAGTTCAACGCTCACAGGGTCGTGACTGTGGATTTTGCCCTGGCGCGTCAGGCCATGTGAAAGTGCACGTTTGGACACAGGTTTGGGCTTGTCGTGAAAATCAAACAAATAGCTAGACTTGCGCACGCTGCCGCTGTGGGCGTGTCTGTCAATGTGCTCTCATTTCCCTTCTGGAGCGGGTGTGTGGGCACCGCTCAGAATAAGAAATTCGGACAGGAGCACAGCCACGGGAGCTGGCAGCAATGGTTGGCGTGAGGTACACATCTGGCCACGTTACGCTGGGGCTGTTCTCAGTGCAACACATCTATTTCATTGTTATCTAAAGAGATCGATTGTTCGCTACATGTTCATCTGTCGTGCGAGTGGATGAGCCGTTGGAAACTTCAACTGTAATAAGCGGCTCTGCGATTGATAATTCACGGGGCTGCCTGTTGCGTCGTGGCATGTTGAGCGCATGGCACCATGGGACAACAAGGTAAACTTTTGGTGGTTGTCCAGGTTTTGCCCATGTTCCATGGTTGAACAATTTCTTTGATTGCGTTGCCGGATTTTGGCAACGCACGGCCTGTGTGTATCTTGCGCGTTGGCAGCAACTTTTTCTAAACAGCCTAAAGGTCACAGCATGTGTTTTTGAAGACATTTGCTCAACAGCAGCTCAGCATGGCGACTAAGAAAGCTCCCGTAGCACGCGGTGACACAGACCCACCGAACCCGTCCGTACTGCAGCAAAGGGGCTCATCGCCAACCGTCACAAAAAAGAAACAATAGTTGCATGTACTCCCCTGGGTTGCGACATCCTCAAAACGCTTTGGCACCGTGTTGGGGACCTTGTGCATCGCCGTTTGCTTTCCGCTGCATCCGCAGCGCGTCCAATTCACCAGGTGTCGTGACATGCTGGTCGCAGGTTGCAGCCATTAAATTGCCCGATTAAATGCAATTTATCGTAAATGTTGTACATCTGAAAATAAGCGAATTTCGAATTTTGCAAATATACGCTATTATTGCGCATTTTGAACAGAATTCAGCCTGATTTCTCAAACCTGGTTGGCACCAGCAATTCACGGCCGTCCCTGAGGCCATGTTTGTGAGGAATGAGACAGCAGTGGCCCGACTTGGCATGGGGCGGCGCGTAGTCGGAGTCTTAAAATTTTGGGAACGGTGCAGCAGGGGCATGTACAGCGCAGTGCTGTGGCAAATTGCCAATCGCATCATGTGCAGCGACAAGCCGGCGCACTGCCATCACCAAGATGATGAGTCAGCCCTGCAGCACGATTGCCACCCGTCCTTGAATTGTGCCGCTTACAGCTGTGGGAACTCGAGTCCAAAGGCGGAAAGTCGTTGATTTTGTGTGTTTGAATCAGGGCCAGCTGGCGTTTTCTTATCAGACTCTGATTTCACACCCCTGGCCTTTGAGCCAGCCCTCTGCTGACAGGGCCCCCCGTCCCCTTTCCACTGATCCTTCCCAAGGTGCAACTACCACGGCCCAGCTTTCCCGCTCAGGCTTATGTAAAGCAAGGAATTCCACACTTCTTGACGCCAAATTTGAGAATCCCCCAGCCGCAGCACCTCAGCATCCCCCTGCCGTGCTGCTTGCGCGCCTGGCCCAAATGCCACAGCTGGCCGGCCTCGCTCCTCATGTGCCACGACAACAGCAGTTCCTCAAGATGACTACCCATGCGAAGTGCAGCAACAATGTGTTGTAGACGCACAGCTCGCCCGCCATATTGTAAGATCTTGCTGGCAAGACATTGTTGAGCTGCTTCTGAGTGTCGATCATGCGAGCCCCAGAAACGGGTGGTCTTGGGACCGTAGGCGAGCTCCAGAAGGCCGAAAGGGAGGCCAGTTGGGGAGGTTCTTGGTGGCCCTCATGGCTAGCTGGCCGCCACGAGGGGTGAAGGCAGGCGACGGGGAATCTGATCGCTGCGCCATCGCCAATGGAGAATTCATGGAAACATGCCGAATGTGGTTGTCGCCCACAGTCATTTGTGTTTTCTGTGCCCCGATGCTTCCAACATTACCTGGTCAACAATCACTTGCCTCTGGATGCAAGCTGACTGCCCTGGCAAAACAGCCATGAAGCCAATTGGACTTGATGGGAGAATTGGGCGCCGTGTGATGCAAGCTGTGCGTGGTGTCATGTGCTGCATCTGAGTTGTGCAAGAGAATGGAAAATTGGCAAATGTCATTTGGTGGCACGGGGTGGTGACAACAGCACTGCCTTTTTCTGATTCAGGCGACGCTGTGCCCATGTCAAGGACTTGTTATATGGTAATATCTTATGGAGAACTGTTCCCTGCACCTAGGGGCTAAAACTCCGGCAGCAGAAGCACAGCAGTGCGCTGTCATACTGGCCACAAGATCAACATGCCGTGCCACACCAACAGTTCTCTCCCCAGGGAGTTAGAGCCACGGTTGATTAGGATGCCGCATGCCCCTATTGTGCGCTATGTAGTGAAGGACTTGAGCTGTATTCACACGTCAATTTGGCTGCTGACACATGTGCAGCACACGCACTGGCCTACCTTGGTCCCTGTACCATTGTGCAGATCCCTGGGCCGCCAATCTATAATTCCCAGCGAATTCCGATAGCGTTGCAGCATTCGTGAGCATCCTGGGTTCCCCCTGGTACTAGACGGGGCAGCGAGGATTTTGTAGGGAATCTATGCAACCCGGGTTTCCAACAATCCCTAGGTCTATGTCTTATGCACACGGAATGTTGATGCACAACGACGATCCCTCCCGGCACACATTGATAACCACAGCCATGCTGAGAAGTTGACCGCACGAACATTCCTGAAATCGTCATCAAATGTATTAAACACGATCATTCTGCCTGCAAGAACAGGTGTGCAAGCACGGATGTTACAACGAAGATTGAGATATCCTCCGACACGCATTGCGCTGCTGTCCACAACCCATAAAGGCCTTGCCAAATTTCACGTATGCCAGGCATGCTTTGCAGCACTTCCCACAGGCTGCCACTCTTTCCCCTGGCCTGTGGTTGCCGTACCTGGTAATCAGAGCGACACAACATCGCTGAAAACTGCGGTCACTGTCTGCAAAAGAGATGTAAGTTTATGCACACATTGGAGGTTTTGACTTAAGGGCACATGGGAGATTTACTGCCATAGGGATGAAGAAATCATGCTGTTGGATGAATATAACCCATCAAATCAGATTAATATAGCTGTTGTAGCATCAGACGATCGGCACTATCAAATACATCAGAGCTACATTATAGACCAAAAAACAACATTGGCAAACTTGAGCTGTTTATGTATTGCAGTGGGACTCATGGGCATCGCACACACCAAGTTGGAAAACCTGTCTGGATTCCGCCACAAACGTCAATGCCTCGACATGTCCTGTGCAATGGCATATGAGCAAGAGGGGTTTGTACTCTGAAGAACATGAAAAAGCCAGAGAACATGGGAGCAACACGTATGTTCACACAATGCTTCGATCTTGTGGATTGTCCATCAAGACTGTCAAGACATTCGATCCCCACATTCACAAAGCACAGACTGTAGTTTGCAGATGTGTTGGGTCTCTGGGAACCTTGACCATGCTGCTCTGCCCTGATATTAATCTACAGTTTTGATGGAGAGTAAATTAGTTGAATGCATTCTGGCAAAACCAACAGGGCAGTAGCCACGCAAACCCAATGCAATGCAGTCAGGGCTACAGTAAAGAACATGAACAATCAGCAGCCACATACATGCAGATCCACATGAAAAGGATAAAGCATACCCACCATCTTGACCGTTTTGCTCTTGAATTTGTCTGTACATTCAGTGTCAACATTTGCTCAGAGTCTGACTCGCACCCCTAAACGGCAGCCATCATATGGTACTGAAAATAGTGTTGAGTTGATGTTAACAACGGTGCATGCTGCCTGTGCTATGTATGGATAACAGCCAGCTTCTGTCTCACATCAAAGGGGTCACTGTATGACCTAAGGCAAGAACCTCGTTCCAGTGGCACAGATATTCACAAAGATGCACAGTAAATTGCAGTTCAGACCTTATTCAAGTTGTTGCATATTTCTTCAGGTCCAAAATATGTGTGCTACAGGAGCACAGCGTACAGGTGCCAGTGAAAGGAGGGCACAGATCGTAAAGAGTCCACAGTCTTCCACAGGCATATATCCATTGCCACATGTAAAAGAGTAAGGAAGTCCATTAAATTGGCACAAAAACGTTGATGAAGCCCCATTCACAAGCTCACCTGCTCTCCAGAGTATGTTCTGTTTCCTCTGTGAAGCACCCATCCACCAGTGACAATTGCAGCCTGGCACATGGAAATGGAGACACGAAACACATCGATTGAACAAGAAATACATCGCAGCAAAACTTGAAAAACTTCTGTTTGCTTGTTTTGAATCAGCAACATTTCCGTCTTTTTGCTATTAATAGTCATGGTTGATGACAAGCTCCCACATCAGACATGGAGATGAAGGGCACACTCTACCAGAAAGTTTTGTTCCCTATCAGCCATTCGTTTCCACAACAAAAGAGCCCACCCAATTAACTGCCAAATGTCCACTTGCTTCCAATAAACATGTTTACATTACGTTACAAGTTTGCGATGCTGCACACATTTCCACTCATCAGCACGAATTATGGATGGCGGCTTTGGTCACCTACCTCTGTTATCAGCAGCGCTGGAAACGGCGGAAGACCAACTCCATATTCCCGTGGGCCGACAACCAATCCAAAGGCGAGCGCTGCCAGAACCTGGAACATCCTGGTGGATTCGAACACAGCGCCGATTGTTCCCCACGGGCGCAGCACTGAGCAGCTGATCACCACAATTTGCTGCAGCACCCTCATCAATGCTGTGTTCCGCCCCTTTCCGTCAGGAGCATTCGTCGTCGCGGGGCCAACTTCAGCACTTGGGCTCTGCCGCTCAGAGCCGATTTCAGCCTCTGTGCTGGCGGGTGTCGCTACGGATGCCGCCGCCTCGCTCCGTTGTTCATTCTGTGACCGGTCAGAGCTCCCTGCACAGTAAACCCGCGTTCGGTCATCGCCCCTTGATCGCCCCAAGCCAGCAGACACTACGGACAGCCGCGCGAAACGCAGTGGCGATCGGAATGGCAATCAGGCCCACCGCGCAGTTGGCATCATTAACTGGGGAGAGTTCAGGGATGGATAAGTGGTGTCAGTTTGCGCGCCATGGCGATTTACGGGCGACCAGCACCTGCCGGCCGCTTCTGTGGGTTCTGCATTGACAGAATTTTCGACATTCTGTCCGTGCTCCGGGCCAAAATCTTCGCCCTCCGAGCGTCAGCTTCCGCCTGGCGCCTCAATCTTTCGCCCTCCATGGTTGCGGCAGACTTCAGGGGCTCTGGGCTGTCGGAACCTGGTGTGATAGCAACAGCAGCAGCGCGGGGCACAACGAAACCTTGGGGCGCGCCTTTGCTTTTACCGCGTCCCACCCAGCAAAAGCCCCGTTTTAGGACCTCTGCACTCGAGAGTAGGTTAGGGGCGGCGGTGAATGATGAACAAACCGACGGGCACTTGCATTGGATACTGGGGACGTCCATGAACTGCGCCCTGCGCGACGCCTGCCGAACGATGACCTACTTCATCAGCGGGCAGGCATGTAGGATCATGATGGAGAAGGTGGCCATGACGACGGTAGAGCCGAAAAGCTTTTTGCACCTCACCCCGGCGACTTTGCAGCATAGTGGAGCCGGGTCTTATGCGAAGGTTGCTAATCCCAATCCCCGTAGAACGTTTGTGTGGCGCCCGTTATTGTTAATATCTGATATGGTTTCTCCAAGTGGCAGCGCCACATTCCAAAAGCTTCGTGATGTTACTGTGCAATTCCATCATTGTGTTTGCAATTGGTGCACAGGCTTGTGCCTAGGCTACCCAATGCGAACGATGTTCGAGCTTGCTTTCATGGCACAACATTGCCTTGGCTTCAGCTTCTTCATGCAGAGCTCTATTCAGACATGCAAGAGTTTGATCAAGCGTGACGTTGTCTTTTTTGTGGCTTCCACCTTAGTCTATCCTATCATTGTTTTCTTGTGTTAACCCAGACATTGACAAGGACCTTGGACCTAAGAACCTTAACACAATGTGTTACTATTGAGAGTTCAGGTAACCTTGGTCCCCATCTATTTGTTGCAACGAGTATCATTATTGTTGTCATTATGACTTACAATTGGGGCACTGCTGATGTTGTGGAACATGGCAGTGGAGAGCAGAATCTATCCAGATATTGCCCAAAGTGCACCTCTCCTACACAACAAAAGGGCCATACTCTATGCCACACCCCTTGGGTTGAGGCAATAAGTCTCAAGCTTCTGGAACTTGCTATCTTTTTTTATGAAATGTGGCATGCTTCATAACCAAAATAAACCGTCCACTGAACTGCAACGACCGCTCACCTTATTGGATTTGCCTCAATAGGATTGTTGTATATTATACACCTTTCGGGGTTTGTCATAGCCAAACTCAAGGTGGAGAAGGTCAGTGGGCTGCCCCATGTGCATATGTTAAAACATAGCTCACGCCCATGACCAAATGGCTGAAAAAGGCAATCATTGTGTTTGATGATATTATGCCCCAATGGTTGCCACCCTGTCTATGAGGTTTTGACCTTGTCATGTGCTACAAAAGGAATACTCCAAGATTCCTAATTTGTAGCTAGTTGAATTCAAAAAAATTAAGATGCCCTTAGCTTTTGTTACACACAGGCCTAGTGTGGGGGATGCCCTGCCCAAGATATGGTAACGATACCTGAACCGGACTGTTGCGGCCCCGTCGGCAGGCGCTGGTTTCCGGAGGCGTTGGGGTCGCCCTGCCCTGCAGCTCGGCTATTTGAGGTTAGCCGGCCCTCTCCACCTTGGATGGTGGGCGTATCTGGGGCAGTCGCTCTTTTGGTCGCGCAGTGGGCCCAATGCTCGACGGGGATCGATCCCCCGGGGCCTGCTGTCGGCGAGAGGTGGCGGCGCAGCGAGGCGGTGGTTCGCTGGCTCGCGGGAGACCAGAGAGTGGGCCAAAACGGTTACACGAATTCACTGCATGTGCGCGCACAAATCCGTATGCGCGATGCCCGATCGCGGGTCCATCGCTGTCACATCAAGACAAGACAAGTCAAGTGCGTGTCCAGGCACATCGTCACCTCCACTATTCACCTACGATCGACCCATTGTCCTCTAATTCCAAGCGTCTAACACCCGACCCCCTGACCCTAAGTTCTATGACTTTAGGAGACCATATCTTCGCCGTTTCTTAATGGAATCGGGCGTTTAAAGGCGCGTTGGAACCAAGAAGCTCTAAATAACACCCCTAAAAGTGATATCCCTAATTACATAATTTCCACTCTAAAAAACCGTTAATAACTGCCTAACCCCAAGTAGCCACGTCACACAGACCCTATACTATTATACGATATGGGAGTAGATCGGTGTTGCAGCCCCGTCAGCAGCCGCTGGTTTTTGGAGGCATTGGGGTTTGTTACGCGCACCGGCCTGATGTGGGGGACGCCCTACTACTGACCCTTGGTGTGGGGGACGCCCTGCCCAAGAACACTATCCTCAACCCAGGGTAACCACTTTAGGTATTAGGAGATGGGAGTAGGAGGGGTGGTCCCGCCTAGGTCCCCGTAAGGACCTAGGTGCCCGGCGAGGTGGGTCCGCGGCTCAAAGAGGGCAGGAACCCCACACCCATAGTCTTTTCGTATCATTTGGTTTCGGAGCCACCTGAGGGTGGCTACCACGCTTCCGCCTGGGCGGACGCGCAAGTTCGGAGCGACGGGCTCCCTCCCCGGTCTCCGCCATGGAGGCCGAGGAATCAGACAGCTCTGCCCGCAAGGGTACCCCGATACGTCGGGTGAGATTGGTACACCCCGGGAGGGGACACCGACTTCGGTTGGTGCAGTTCAAGCCCGGGATGGGCAAGGAGGGGTAAAAGTCCGGGAGGACATGGCTGGACCCTCCACAGCCACTTCACCACCCGTAAGGGAAGATGAACCGATGGGGGAAGCGAGTGCCCCACCGGCGGAGGAGAAGAAGCAAGAGCAAGATCAAGGGACCATGGCGGCACTGCTGCAAACCCCTGGTATCATGGAGCTCTTGGAACAAGTGGCGGATGCTGCTGCCAAGAAGGCGAGGGAGAAGCGGGACGAAGACACCGCGGAGAGAATTGCCTCGCTGGAAATCGCCGTCAACAAGGCCAAGAAAGAAGCTCGGGAAAAGGAGGTGGCCATGAAGAAGGCGAAGCAGCAAAGCCGCGAGGCACAAGAAGCCAAAACCTCCACCGAAGACCAAAAGTCAAGGCGTTGAGCGACCATCTCTTGAAGCAAAAGCAGCGGGCCCAGGAGGCAGAAGAGAGAAGCGCCCAACAGGCGGCAAAGGTCGTGAGGGCCCCAAGCCCGTCGGAACTACCCATGCCAACCATTCCAGAAGCCGAGGGCGACTGGAAGGTTGCCGGTAGACAGCGGCCAAAGCGGAAGAGCCCATCGCCAGGTGAGCGGCCGATGGGACGCGAGGAATCGCCATACAAAGGCTGGGAGGCCAAAGCCTTAGGGCGCTTTGAGAAAGTAAAAGGCCGGAAGGTCAAGATCCCGGAGCTGCGGCTCAAATCCCAGGTGCACATTAGAACACCTAGTGGATCGGACGGGACGGGAGATGAGTCGCTCACAGAAAGCGCTCAAGCAGTATGCGGAAAAAGTCCGCCAAGGCCGGGAGGCCATAACTGGAGCCCTCGGAGGCCTGCGTTGCCAGAGTGGGGGCCTGGTGAAAGCTCAAGGGTGTTGGAGTTCATTCCAGACACTCGAAATCCATATGGCCGGCAACCACCGTGCCGTGCAATGTGGACAAAGTTCCACAGCGATCTCGTCGATGAGCTTGATGAGGGGTGGCGGATGGCCGCCGACCAGTTTGGAGAAAGGTTAACCACCGCCAGACTGGTTAGAATACAAAGGTGGTATGGTCCTGGAATGGCAGATCAGATTGCCAAAGAGGACCCAAATTGGCCAAAAAAGATGGCCTTTGCGCTCAGGCAT